ATTTAAAGTAGCTTTAAGGTTTTGGTTTTTTTCCTGTTCTAGCGTGGAGTCTGGGTTCCCATTGAACCCAGACAGTTACCGAGCTTAAGAAAGTATTGCTAAGGAACTCTGGCTCAGAGTTATCAGACTGGTGCCTTTTCAGGCTCCGATTCACCAATAAAGGACCATCATGAACTCTGTTGCGTGAGATATAAAGGTTTCATGAAACAAGTGCCAGCCTGTCAAGATGAAGGCTTCAACTCGGAAGCCACTCTTTTGAGCCATTTTAGCTTCCAACTTTTTTTTCATGGGCCATGTTCCCTCTCCCAGGTCAGTCAGGTCAAGCTGTAAGACACACGATAAGAGGAAAGGCTCGTCATTCCGGTGCCGGGTGACAGCTCAGAAGGCTAGAGGAGCATGTTTCCAGGCGTAATGAAGCGCCTCTGAGGTGCCGTGTGGTTGATACGAAGGTTCTCAAAGGGGAAACGTGACAGAAAGGGGGTGAGAAATCAGGCATAGTCCCTTGATGTCAACATACAGCTCGTATGACTTTGGTTCTGCTCCTGCACCCAAGTCTGTAAGTAGATGGGGGAAAACAACAACAACAAAACAGACTTTAAAACTGAAGGGGGACTAACCCTCTGCTTCCTCACTTTGGCCTTCGCGGGCCTTGGCCCTCCTGCTGTAGTTCCTACTCCTTCCTGAAGAGCTAGACTTTCTTTCCATACCGCGTGCGGGCATTCTTCCAGGTGGGTACCCACCGCATTTCCCAGGGCGGGACTCTGCCAGGGATGGTTTGTCCTGAAAGAGTGCTGGGATATTTATTTAAGTTTAGTCTTCCAGACTAACTTAAATTCAGGTGAAAGGGGCTAGTTATCACAAATGGTAAAATCACCTATTATGAGAATTCTATTCTGGTTTAAAGTGGAAATGTGTCTCATGACAAAAGAATCTTCATACTACCTTGGAATTTAAAAATATTTTCATTCCTAAAAATTCTAATTTCTCCTGCCTGTTACCTAACTGTGTCCCACTGCAGCACAGTTGAGAGTGAGAGTAGAGAAGAATTTAAATGACTCCCTCCTGTCATATAATGTTAGAGATGATGTATCAGATTCTGAATCTAATTTATATACTAGTGTGTCTAAACTTGTTGGAAGCCTAAATATTTACAGGCAAATGTGGTTGCTTAACAATAGGAATGCTATGTAATTAATTCCGATTTAGAGCAACAGTGCACAATCTAAAAGATGGTTTCATGAAGTTCGTTATACCTTGCATTTAACCTCCCCTTCTGTGACTGTGTTCACATGAGATCCTCAGAATAATTCACTTTTCAGCATCCCCACAAGGCCAAAAATGCAAACCTGAGAACTGGCTCTCTCCCAGGGTCCTCAGAACACCTCTGAAGTTTTTTCCTCCAGGATGTACGACACTTGTAAAAACTACTGAGTGTTGAGGGAAGCAACATCTAGCAAATTTCACCTGCCCTCAAATGAAAGGAAACCATTTGCTCAATGCGAGGCTTTATACTGAGTAATGCCTGGATTAAAGCCTCGGAATGAAAGTCCTCAACTGGAGTTTACGATCTCTTTCAGGTCTCATATGTGACTTTGTTAAACAGTTGCTTAAGAACACACGGTTTTCAGCGGTGTGACAAAAATACTTCCAGGAACAAGTTCTGCAAATTCTGGCCTAGGCAGCGAACACTGAGTAAACCTGAGGGGACAGGGCTCCCTCCTCTCGGGCACAGCCACCTTCATCTGTGACCTGTGCCCCCCCAACCTCAGGCCTCCGTGCCGCTGCTCTCTTTACTCTGAAACCGCCGCCACCTCTTAAAAACTTAAAAGGATCCCTTAACCAATTCAAGTGATTTATTTTGGTGATTCACACTTTTGGCGATACAAAGTGTGTTTACTTATTAAAGGGATTTTCTGTGTTAGCACCCCCGGGGAACTGGGGGCTGTAGGTGTGGGAGGCTTTGCAAAGCAGTGGGATTTAGATGTAGGCCGGGTGCGAGGTGAAGCTCCACCCCGCCCGGGAAGGTGGTCAGCCCGCAGGTCCCGGCTCTGG